TTCAGCTTGTTCATCCCTGACCATTACATTTTATAATCTCATCTTTCCTCTCCCTCCTTTACAATGGGACCTGAGCCTTAGCAAGAGGGATGTAATATTTGTAAGAAGTCTCCCTTTATGTCTGAGAATTTGATGGAACTTATTTTTTGCACTTTGACCATCTGTGAATTTTTGCCTGAACTACCATCTCCTGCATGAAGAAACTTTTCTGGTAAGAACTGAGATCACCAAGAATCTCTGGGTGGAAATACATGAACTTAGAGGGCACTTTGATACTATGCTTCGTTAGAAAAATAATGGAGCCTGTGAACTCACCAATATGACTTTGTGGCCAGATGTACAAGGCACAGGTTTTCACATAGAGTAAATGCTTACCCCTATTAAAATCTATGCCACTATTACACCCTTGGGCACATCTTGCCACAATGGCCCTTTTTGTAGGTCACAGTTCACAGCTAGGTAAGACTGTTTGATGACTTTTTTCCTCCTCAGAACCTGACTAGTACCTTCTTGCATTCTGAAAGTTAGGCAGCAGAGAAGAAACATCAGCATCAACACTTTATTTTTTCTTGTCCTATGAAAAAAGCGAGTAGTATCTCCAATACCAGAGTTTTACCATTAAGTTCGTGTGAACCACTAAAGCAAGGGCAATAAACTGTATTTTTTAGAGGATTTCAGGGCATGGCTGACAAAAAAGTCATGTAATATCTTAGTGTATTTTCTATTGCCATGACCAAAACAAACAAACAAAACAAAAAGTTATGATGAAGGCAACTTATAGAAGAAGTGTTTTCATTAGCAGCTTACAGTTTCAGAGGAGTACATGACCATCACAGTAGGCAGCATGGAAGGAGGCAGGCTGGCACAGCACAGTAACAGTAGCTGAGAGCTCATATCTGACCCACAAGCAAGAGGCAGAGAAAGAGAGCTAACTGGAAATGGCACGGGTTTTTGAAACCTCAAAGCCAATTCATCCCTAATGACATATCTCCCCCAACAAGGCAACACCTCCTAATTATTTTCAAACAGTTCTACCAATTGGGGAGCAACTATTCAAAAAAATGAGCCTGAGAAGACCTTTTTCATTAAAACCACCAAAAGGAAGTACCCCATACCTGACACTCAACCTTTTACTTTTAAACCAATAGTTTCTGGGAGGAACATTATATCATGTGTATGCTATCTATGATTAAACTATTTCACACAAATAATATGTGCTGGCCCAAGATTTGAAAGCTAAAAGCATGATTTAGAAGTTATATTTGAAATATCAAAGGATTAATTCAGGATTTACTATTTGTAGGTCAGTGAGATGGCTCTGAATGGCACTTCACACTCAAGCTGCTGACCTGAATTCAATCCCTGAAATCCATGTAAAGGTGGAAGAAGAAAATTCCACACAGTTGTCTTCTGGTCTCCAAATGTGGACTCTGGCCTGTGTGCCCACCACTACTCCCCAACACAAATGAATTAAAATGAAGGCCTTTTCATATAATAAGAAATAATAGTCTTCTCTGGAAGCAAAGCATGATAAATTATGCAGTGGTTCTCAATCTTTGTCATGCTATGACTCTTTAATACAGTTTCTCATGTTGCGATGATCCCCAATTGTTGTGGGAAGTCCTTCTAGGTATATGTCAATAAAGCACTGTTGGCCAATAGGGAAGCAAGATAGGTGGGACTAGAAATCTAGGAGGATTCTGGGATATGTAGTGAAGAGTGTGATTGTCATGTGATCTCCCAGGAGCAATGGGCAACTAAGGAGTGCGTTCTCAAAAGGATAAGTCCTTACAAACATATATTACTAATTATGAGTGAATAATCAAGTCAGAGCTAGCCTTTAAGAAACCAAGCAAATGGCCAACAGATTAATAATTAATATAGTGTCTTGTGTGTTATTTAGGGGCTGAAACTGGGGCATGACCTAGGCAGGAATCCCACGACACCCAGTTATAAAATTACTTTCATTTCTACTTCACACTTTTATCACAGGTGTGTATTCAAATTCAAAGACAAAGTTACTAAAGAGATTTAACAAAACATTACTTGAGATTCAGGGATTAAAATTATCTTGTGTTTTTAGTTGTCATTCTCTGCACTTTTCAGAAATATTATATCATTAATTTTCTAAAACAGAGCAGAAACTCTTCCCAAATTTCATTTGGTATAAGTAGGTTACAGTTACTTCTAATCCTATTTTATACTTATTATTAACAAAACCATTCTGTGATGAGAAAATTTTCATCAGGAGAAAAGAAGAATAGAGTAAGATACATTTCAACTCTGTGAAGAAATATTAGAAATGTTCTCAAAAGAATAACTAAATAAACTTGAAAATCTGCTTGATAGCAAGAAGCTGAAAACAAGGACTATCATACTGTATAAATTGGCACCATCATGTATCACAGGTTATAGAAATTCCTCCATTCTTTCTTCTCTAATACTAGAAGGATTGTTTCTATGCAGTGCATTTTGATCTCAGAAGTTAAACCCATTTGATCTTTGATTCTTTATTCTAGGATGATTACATGCCAGGTGTTGGCATAAGTAAAATATTGAAGAGGAGGTGTCCATGGTACTGAATAGAAATTTGGGTCTTAAACCAGGGGCTGCTTATTATGTATCCTGGAAGAGATAGACCTCAGATAGCAATAATCATCAAAGGATAGGTGAGAATGGGGAAAGGAATCTAGTTTTCCAAGATTTTCATAGCTGTAATTGGTGCAAAGTTTAGAAAAATGCTTTTACATTGTGGTTTCCTATAATTCTGATGTTTCTCCTCAGCAATGCAAATGAAACTCTGAGAAGTAGACTGGATACATCTTTGTTATCACACTTTCATAGGTGGGAAGAGATTTGGGTAGGGACAATATCTGTCCATCATCATGAGTCGTTTACATTTCATCAAATGAAAATTAATGACAGTGTCTTGACATGCCTTGCATCGTGTCTTTTTATTTCTTGTAAGGAAATTCCTATAAAGTCCCACTCCTCCTTCCCCATGTTTCTCTTTAAAGCTTTATTAATGAAGATTTTCTTTCCCTAAGAATTAAATCCTTCAAAGTGTAAACACATACATAGCCCAGACTGGTAAGGTGTTTGTAGGAGCTTCACCAAGTTGTTTAAACAAATTTTTTGAACAGTCGTCTAAGTATGAGCTGCAAATTGACTTTCTGTGTTAATGCTCTGAACAGAAATTCACTTAGACTCTAATAAACCCGTGACTTTCCTTTTTATGTTTATTATTACATATTTTAGTAATTTTTTAAATTAACATAATTAAGAGTTCAGTTGTTTGCATAGCCCATTTTGAGGCTTGAGTGAGGATATTAATTTTAAAGCTCTGTGTTCTGAGGTCATGGTTGAACTCTACAGCTCAGAGACTATTCCCTTCTTAAAATGAGCTAATAAAAATATAGTACCATGTAGTATAATCTAGTATATGATAATGTAGGACACTAAAAAATAATTCATGGTGACTAGATGATGGATTCCCTTTGAAACTCATAGAAAATGATGTGTATGTAATAAAATTTCAGAATATAAGAAATGTTGTTTCTAAAGAAGTTGTTATTGTAATAATTGTAAAACTGTTATCTTGCTTCAGAACACAGAGAAGAAAGCTAACCTGTGCTGTAGAGAATTTTGGAAATTGTATTAGTTATTTTTCTGTTGTTTTGATAGTGTACCCTGGTAGAAAACAACTTTGGAGAGTAAGGGTTTATTTGGGACTGGAGTTATGGAGGGGAGTATTATGGGAAGGCCAAGGGGCCATCCAGGGACCCAGGCAGTCAGGAATGGGAGAAAATAGGAAGTAGGGCCAGGTTATAAGACTTCAAAAATCACTTCCAGTGATGTACTTCCTCCCTCAAGGATCAATGTCCTAAATGGCCCAGAACCTTCCCAAACAGTGGCACCATCTGGAGAGCAAGTGAATTTTGCTTTGGCTTATTTGTGGCAAAACAGATGAATTATTTGATCAGTTTAAGAAAAGAACAAAATATATTTAGATAGCTGAGAAAATATGATAAAGGGATAATTTTCATACAAACTATTGTTAGTTTACTATTCTTGTACATAATGATGTGCACTGCTAATTGTAGGTTACAACCCTATAGAAGTCAAAGAGAGAAAAAGTGGGCACATTGGAAGTGGGGTGGAGTACATTGCAGAGGTAATTAACATGGGGGCCCTGATGTCATGTCCCAGGCCATGTTTGTCATCAATAGGGTCTTTGTAACTTTCCTTAGGGTATTTGAGACTGTGTGTGTGTGTGTGTGTGTATTTATGTATTCGTATGCATATATACTAGTCACACATATAGTTAACAAAATATAACATATATTTTAGTTTGTTGCTAACTCATAACTGTAATTTTGCTGCTATTATAAATTGCAATGTGAATATCTGATAGGGAGGATATGTGATATGACTCCCAAAGGATTCTCAAGCCACAAGTTGAGAACTGCTGTACTAGCATGAAGTGCTTGCACCAGGGAGCTCCCTTATCCAGGCTGGGGACACTACTAAGAAATACTGTAATGTTTTTGTGGAATGAGTTATCACATAGAACTCACTGGATGTGTTCTTACAGGTCCTGAAGACTTTGTGTTAATGCCTCATGATGTTTATTGGCTACACTGATTTCTAAGTATAAGGCATTTGGGCTGCTATTACTTTTGTACCTGTTATAATACTTGGTGATATGAAGCCTCTGTTTTTAACCATCAACAATGGTTACCAGAGTGTTCCCCTGCTATCCTAACTCTCCTTTACTAAGGAGAGAAAGTAGAACAAGAAAACACAAAAGAAAATGCCCTTTACTTCTAAGAATGGTCTGGATACATCTAGGTGGTGTGGAGTTGTAGAATGGTAACTGGGCAGAATACTCATCCAGTAGAGTCTTCCAGCTTTGACTTTTGAGTGGCTTGTCCTAAGCGTGCAAGAGTATGTCCCACACTCATGGTGTCTTCTCACTTGGTATTTTCTTGTCATTTCAGATACCTCAGATTAGTTATGCGTCCACAGCTCCTGAGCTCAGTGATGATCGGCGCTATGACTTCTTCTCTCGAGTGGTTCCACCTGATTCCTTTCAAGCTCAGGCCATGGTAGACATTGTAAAGGCCTTGGGCTGGAATTATGTGTCTACTCTTGCATCTGAAGGAAGCTATGGAGAGAAAGGTGTGGAATCCTTCACACAGATTTCCAAAGAGGCAGGTAGGAAGTGATTGTATTGTCAAACTTACCATCTTCAAACATCTGTGTCTTACAGAGTTTTCCTGGGTTATTCTTAAATAAACAGTACATATAGTCACCACCATGTCTCTCATCTTATATTCGCTGAGTCCTGTGACTTCATCTTTGAGGTCTTAATCTCCAGCATGTTGTAACTTTTGAGGGGATTTTGAAAGGTATGAAACTGCAGTCTCTTGATACCAACAGGCAATGTGAACAGAACAAACACCGCAATGGGTACCTAATTTCTGCCTAAGAAATGTGGAGGAGAAATGCAATAAGTTTATAGATAGTGAGACATTTTTGTATATAATGAACATTGGAATTCATTTATCATTCTTTTAATGAACCCCCCAATTTGATGGCTTTCCTTGTAGCTGAGGCTATCCTTGAACTCACTCGAGCTAAGACTGAACTTCTGATATCCCTGTGTCTGTCTTCCAAGTGCTAGAATTATAGTTAATAACACCCTGCTGGGTCCTATGAAGTTATACTAAGATAAAAAAATCAGCTATGTTTACAAGAATTTTATTCAATCAAAATGGTAACTGACTGGTGTAGTCAGCTGACAGGGAATGGGCAGAAGGTCTGTTTAATGAGGAAAGGTGTCATTCATCTTGATAACAGAGACATGAACAACACCCTTCACTACAGTCAAACTTTGTGGATGTGGCTGATAACCCTGCACATGAGTGTGGAGAGAAGTTTCTCTGAGAATCTCGTATTTTTAACTCATAGCATGACCAGTTGTTATAATTTTAAGTGTCACTGGCTATCTGCGTCCATCTTACTTTCTGACTTCTGACTGAGCTGCTCCTGTTTCTAAGTATCTCTAGCTGACTCTTATAAATCTTGGACAATAGTCATCTGAAATGTCATCTCTCAGTTCATACAGATATGCAAACCTTTCCCTGTTGTTTGGCTTTGCCTGGTGTTTCTAGGTCGTCATCCTACAGCTTTAGTCATATCCCCAAGACACTTACTGGAGAACATGTGTTGCTCATTCCCTGCTGTTACTCTAACTGCTGTGGTCCTAAGGGGAAAATGTCTACTGTAATTCAGTTAGAAACCTTCCGACCTGGCAGAAAAATTTAACTCTGTCCTTATGGAAGGCTGTGATATGTAGAATTCATTAGAAGTAGATTGCATAAGTCCTCAAAGAGATACCAAATCATTGTAATGACTATTTTTATCCCCTTCTCTGTCTCTTCCAATCTTGCTTTGATAAAAATAAGATTGACATAGAGAAATGTCTAAAATATCTGGGTGGAAATAAGTAAGTTAGGCATGTAAAATTGCATGTAAAATAATAGCTCATAAATAAAGCCCAGCCACCATCTGAAATATTTACTTGCTAAAAAATGGTCCCAATTTTAACATTGAACTTTTTATTGGATAAAGCAGAGAAAGTGCTCATCATTCTTCCACAAAGTCTCAGTGTTTGTATGGTCACTAACATGTTGAATATTCAGTTAAAAAGAAAAATCTGCTCTTCTTGCATTGGAATCAAGATAAATGCTTATTACATAACATTATAAGAGACTGTGTTTCGACAGGTCTCAGGGAGACAATTATATGGTTGATATTCCTGTTGTCATTGGTTGGAAGCATAAGTAAAATATGATATTAGAGTTTCTTATATAATGCAAAAAGGAATGACTTTTAATACTGCATGCATGTTCCAGAGTATGCATTTAGCTAACAATATCTTGAGATGATCAGCTCAAAAACAAGACTGTAACAGGTACAGTGATGCCAACTAAAATATTTAAACCTGAGAACATGTTTCTGTGGGACAAGAGTCAAAATCTAGTCATTTGCTGCTGCAGACACAGAGGAAAACATGGGTGATTTGGGTGAAATGTAACGATTAGTACTACGTAATGTGTTCAGAGTATGGTTATAAGCCATCTGTGCTATAGCACAGGTGTAATTAGTAACAGTAAATTCAATAAGTCCTTCGTAGATACCCTTGTTTGATAAATAAGGAGAGGAAAAGGTTAGTCTGAAGAAAAATTTATAGTTTAAATGGTATGGACTAAGTTCATCCACTCAGACTTAGAGGAAAGGTGAGGTTAAAATTAAATTTAGTTGTTATGGGGATACTTTATTTCTTCATTTGCTTGTGGATGGCTGCAAGCTTGTATGTATATTTGCATATGTAAGCACCCACATGTGGGTGTAACTCTGTCTTTCCTTTTCACTGTGTGTGTGTGTGTGTGTGTGTGTGTGTGTGTGTGTGTGTGGTGTGTGTGTGCGTGTGCTTGGGTGCGTGCATGAGCACACACTACACTCAAACTTGGCATCAGCCAACTTTCATGATCACTCTGTACTTTATCAAAGAAAGAAGAAATATCTTTTGGTGAACCCAGAGCTCAGATTCCCTGAGAGTCTTGTTAGTAAGCTAGCCTTGAAGTTTTCTGTCTTATGACTGATGTCATTACATGCAGCTGCCACTCCTCCCCATTTTATACATGAATCTAGGACGTTCACATTCCTCACACTCCAGTGCTTTACCCATTGATTCATACTCCCTGTCCTTTCATTTCTGTGGACTTCTGAGAATGTGTCTTCCTACTCACAATGTGATATCGGTATTTAAGGGCACATAGTTGTATTATGTGTTACAGCTTCTAAATTAGGCCACTTTATCTAGTATCCAGTCAAAGAAACAGTGACACATTCTAGCTTTGAATATATTAATTATATTCAGAATTCTTGAAAGCGTACTTATTAGAGAATTGGGGGAATTGTGTACCATCAAATACCACTTAATTTTTCATCTACTGACTCTAGAACATGATTTGTAAAAAGGCCCAAGGCGTATATGTATACAAGTGAAGTGTTATGTCACAGAAATAAGGAATCCACTTACAAGGTGTCAGTAAGTGCTGTATTTGAGCGATGGACTCTCTTTCCTCAGCATGATAAACAACTGATACATGATTTACCACTTCAGTCCTCAGCTTCTACACAGAAAGAATGATATTTATGAAGGGTGCTTCATTGTGGTGATGTAACCAATGAGATGCTGTTTCTGGGAGCAGGTAATACTTAGTGGTGCACTACTGTAAGTCTCTACAAATATTTATTTTTTTAATTCAGAAAGTTTGAAAATGACTGGAATAGATAGTCTGTTTTCAGTCATAATTGCAAATTATCTTTGTATCAGAATTACTTCTCTTAATAGGCTTTTACCTTATAAGGATGAGGAAAAGAAATGAGCTAGAACCACACACACACACACACACACACACACACACACACACACACACACACGCACACACAAAAGGATAGGATATATGTAGATGTACAGGCTTCAGTCTGGTAGAATTCATTTTAGAATGCTAAGATACCCTTAATTCTAAGGCAGAGACTATTCTAGGATGAAAGCATGTTTCCAGCGCTCATAGTGGCAAAGCAGGGTTGAGATCTTCAGTAATATTGCTTGATAAATGAAGATATTTTCATTGGACGGTAAAATCCACAGTTAATTTATATGTGTATGGGGAGTTTGGCAGCATGTATGCATACACAACATACAAGTCTTGTTCCCTAGGAGGCTTAGACAGGATATCAGAACGCCTGAGACTAGAGTTACAGAGATATAAGCTGCTTTGCGGGTGGTGGGAATCAAACATGAGTCCTTTGGAAGCCCAGCCATTGTTCTTCACCAACAAGGACCCTTCACATCTTTTCTTCTAAATTGTTAAAGTAAAGGCCTGCAAACTTTTTCTTTAGATTGGTTCTGGGAGACTTACACAGGTGTAGATACTATATCATGTTAAGACTGAAAAAAAAACTAACATGATTTTCCCCAGTGATGACATTCTCATAAAATAGTCACATTTCCATAAATGACCCTGTAATGCTTATTCATGTAGGGTCAACAAAAGCTGGTTTTTGCCTAATATTGCAAGAAACAAGATAAAATCCACTTCAATTATAAAAACAAACAAACAAAAATATCCGGGTCAATGTGATAACTTAAATGGTCTAAATTTCAGCTAAAGGCTCTATTTCCTAAATATAAGCAAAGGTTAATGTTTATGATCGCATGCATCACTAGTCATCCCCAGATCATTTGGAGCACATTTGATTTGAGGACTGTAAAATAATTGATTACATCAAACACTGATAGCTGTGTAGAGTGTTTCTAGGATAATTCAAAGATAATTTCTTCATGATATCATTATCATTAACATTTTAATGACAGTGCTGAACTACTAGTCAACTTTTTAAAACCTAAAAAAATGTTTGAACTACACTTTTGGTATTTCATGGTATTTACTGGAAACTGTTGCTTCATTTAGTACCACAAGTTAGTTATTTCCAACAGACGTTAGATATTTTTATGTGGAAAGGAGAAATTTCATGTGGCCTGAGAACTAAAGCAAGAACTATAGGCAACTGATGACTGTTGAAAGAGGGGGAATTAATTTTCCCAATGAGGTGGCTCCTAACTGTCATTCAGAACCAAGTGTTCAGCACTGACATCCAAGTTACATATAAGTAACACTAAGCAGACTCAGCCAGTTACGGTCATATCTTTATACATTCTGTATGTACATATGAAACATAATTATCAATGAAAAAGAGGCAATGAAGTTGAGAGGGAGGAAGTAGAAAATACGGGATAGCTTGGAGGGATGTAAGCACAGTTTAATAAAAATGAAAGTGTAAAATCAAAGTATCATTATTTAGATAAATTATCAATCTTCTTTAAAGTTATCAGTTTAACTTATGAATATTCTCTGTGATATTCTTTTTGGTGTCATGAATTTTGTGAATTTGGTGCCAAGGATTGCATGTAGCTTCTATTCAGTCTTCAGGGATTTAGACCTTGAGAATGTGGATTGCTCATTATGGATTTTTATACAGTTAATTAGGTCTCTGTGTAGTGGGTGATACATTTATATCTGTGTGTATTCCTATAGAGCCATTCACTTTTTTTTGAGACAGGTAATTTCACTAGCAATTGA